ATAATGAAATAATAATAATAATAATAATACGACTTGCAAATAAAATAGCGAGAAGCCAATAATCCAGTGAATCAAAAAATTTTCTTTCAACTTTTAGAAGTCTATTTTTCATTTAATATTTCAAAAAAAAATCATATGGATGGCTTGTTTTGGCGGGCACTAGTAATTAATAGCCGAGCTTTTTTGTTTATTTTTATGGTTGTTTTTTATCAGTTAGGTTTTATACAATGATTTGTCACTAATAAGTTGATCTATTATTGATTTATTAATAATTTATTCAATTATCAATGATAAATCGGTTAATTATGGATTGAAAGTGATTAATCACTTATTATGAGTAATAAACCACTAAATCAATTAGAATTCGTTTAGTATGAGAATTCAAATCAGAGTGATTCTAATCATAAATCACAAAATCAATCCATCATTAATAAACATTTCTTAATCCAGTCATTTTTCTAATTTAACACAGCTTGAATAAAAAAAAGCTTTAAAATGTATATTTACTTTCAAAACCCTTTGTAGTATTATTTATTAGTTTTTTTATAATGAATCCCCTTTATTCCAACACCATAAATGATAAAACGAGCTTCACCTAGGCTCTTGGACGGTGAATATTTTTTTGAACTTTGGACGGTGAATATTTGAGGTGCTTCGAATTCGTCAGTTTAAGCATAATAAAAATCCTTTCAACAAAAGAAAACAAGAAGTAGATTCCTCAACCAAAACCAATAATAGAATCGTTTCAAAATAAAATAAAAATTCTTTCAAGGATTCGTTTTTAATTTTAAATCATAATTTTTAATTTTTTACAATTTTTTTTATAAAAAATTAAAATTTTAAAAATTAAAATTATAAATATGAATCATATATGGAACCGTTTGGAAGATGGGTTCAAACTAGGTGGTTTGAACCAGAATTTAAAAGTGTATTCTTTTCACAACTCAAGTTACAACTTAAATTTTTTTTATGTGTTCTCAAACACTAATAAAAAAGTTAAATTTAAATTTTTATGAGAGAAAATACTATAATAATAAAACTTAAATTGTAAAAAAAATAAAATCTAAATTTTATGAAAGAATCTCTTAACGATAACTTTTTAAATTTAAATTTTTTACGAGCATGAACAAAACCATGGGTTGCCAACCCCTAGGTTGAAACCCATATTCCAAACAACCGTTAAAAGTGTAGGGTAAAAAAATAAAAATCTTGTACATAACGAATATAAAACAAGGGACGTCGTTTTCATTATGCTCCACGCTTCTCAAGGGAAATCAATATCTATATATTCACCACTCTCACACTCAATCTCTCAGTAGCAGACTTGCAGAGAAAGAGAAAGAGATCTGACCCAAATCGAAAATGGAGCAGTTCAAAGGCCAGCCTCGCCTTCCCAAATTCGCCGTCCCCAAACGCTACGACATCAGGCTCAAACCCGACCTCATTTCCTGCAAGTTCGCCGGCACCGTCGCCGTCGACGTCGACGTCGTCGCCGACACTCTATTCATCGTCCTCAATGCCGCCGACCTCTCCGTGGATTCCGCCTCCGTCTCTTTCACCGACCGAAACTCCTCCGAGGTATATCGTGATCTCCGATGTCTGACCTAACCTTGTATTCTCTCTCCTCCTTCCCCTGTCTTCTTCTGCTCTCGTTTTAGATTGTTAAATTGCATTTTGCGGTGTGTCGGTCCGCGTTTTTGGTTTCTAGAGATTACAGAAGAGAGAGAGAAATGGAAAAAATTTGATGGTGAATTTCGACCTAAGTAGAAAAAAAAAATGCTTTTTTAAAATTATTTTTATTGTCGATATTGAGCTTACTTATTTGAGTGCTGATGATTGGCAATCGAAGAAAATGATGAGAAAGATTCCTCAATTATTTTGTGTTTCCTTTTTGTACGATGATAGGTACTGAATAAAGAAGAAAACGCTTGTTAAATTAAGGAAAAAAGGATTACATTTTTGCTTTTTATGATTTGATTTCCAAGTAAATGAAATGGACTTTAATCTGCTTAGAGATTGAGGAGAGGAAAGATAATCTGGAGTATTAGTAGAGCTATTTCCATGGGTCGACATTTTGATGTTCAGTTTCACTTGCATTTCGTTTTTCATTTTTTGTCTTTGGCATGGAAGGAGAGATTTCTGCAATCTGATGACTGAATTTTTATATATTCTTTTTCTGGGGAACAGGTCTTCCGGCCTTCAAAGGTGGAACTTCTTGAAGAAGATGAGATTTTGGTCTTGGAGTTCGCAGAGACACTTCCTATCGGAGTGGGAGTTTTAGCTATTGGGTTTGAAGGGATCTTGAATGACAAAATGAAGGGATTTTATAGAAGGTGATTGGGTTTAGAGTTCATTTATCAGTTTTATTGTACACCAATGTTGGTAATTATTGATGATATGTATACATCTTTGACATGTTACTTATTTTGTTAAGTACTTACGAGCATAACGGTGAGAAGAAGAATATGGCAGTTACACAGTTTGAACCGGCTGATGCTAGGAGGTGCTTTCCTTGTTGGGATGAGCCCGCTTGCAAGGTCTCCATTTCTCTTTTTCATTCACTCTCACCATCTCAGTGAATATAAGACTGATCCTTCTTTCTATTTTTACTTTTTGCATTCTGCTGTAATTTGTAGTGGATACAGTTGTATTTCTCTCATCCATGAAGCTAGTAATTGAATATTTCGTCGAAGTACAAATCTGAAATGGGAATTGGGCTTTCCACATTTTGGCTCAAATAGCATCTTTGTAGTCTATGTCTTGATCTCACTTTTCTTCTCATGGCACTTGGGCTGACAGGCTACGTTCAAGATTACATTGGATGTGCCATCTGACTTGGCATCCCTTTCCAACATGCCAGCCATTGAAGAAAAAGTGGATGGACATCTTAAGACGGTTTCATATCAAGAATCACCAATAATGTCTACATATTTAGTGGCAATCGTTGTTGGTTTGTTTGATTACGTGGAAGATCACACGTCTGATGGTAAATATCATGCACAAGCTCCAGTGTCGCTTATTTGAAGATAATTATGTTCTTAATGAGTGTCTTAATTACTTCTTGTCACAGGGATCAAAGTTCGAGTGTACGGTCAAGTTGGTAAGGCAAACCAAGGAAAGTTTGCGTTGCATGTTGCTGTTAAGACACTTGAATTATACAAAGAGTACGTTTTACATTCAAAAAGTTAATGGAAGTTGCTCATATTACACCTCAATTACATTTTTTTTGCGTGCTTTGAACTAGAGTAATTACTCTGTAAGTTTCTCTCTCTCTCTCTCTCTCTCTTTCTTTTGCCCCCTAATAACTGATGCTGCACGTCCTATAGGTACTTTGAGGTGCCATATCCTTTGCCCAAATTGGACATGATTGCTATCCCTGATTTTGCTGCTGGGGCCATGGAGAATTATGGTTTGGTTACTTACCGTGAAACAGCTTTGCTCTATGATGATCAACATTCTGCAGCTGCCAACAAGCAAAGGGTAAATTAAATCTTTGGAATATTGCTTTGGCGGTCAAAACATGGTTTCTAAATTAGATTTGAGCTATTGTATAATCATCCTCCACTAAATGTTTGATCGTTTCATTTGGATGCTTTGTAAGGTTGCTACCGTTGTAGCCCATGAACTAGCGCACCAATGGTTCGGCAATCTGGTAACCATGGAGTGGTGGACACATCTATGGCTGAATGAGGGATTTGCAACATGGGTAAAATCATTATGGTTCAAAATTTTGTTTTTATGTTCTACCTCTCACAGCGCCTGCTTATCTAGAATAAATTGTATGGAATAGGTGAGCTATTTAGCAACGGATAGCTTGTTCCCTGAGTGGAAAGTATGGACTCAGTTTCTTGATGAATCTGTTGAGGGTCTCAGGCTGGATGGGCTTGAAGAATCTCACCCCATTGAGGTGCTTCTTGTGTAGACTAGTTTATGACATTTTAATATTCCATGAGGTGTTATAATATCAAGTATTTTTCAATTTTTCCTTTGATTACACTTTTCTTTTCAGGTGGAGATAAATCATGCTTCTGAGATAGATGAAATATTTGATGCAATAAGCTATAGGAAAGGTGCTTCTGTAATTCGAATGCTACAAAGCTATCTTGGTGCTGAACCCTTTCAGGTTTACAGCAATTAGCTCATTTTAGAATAATTTTCTAATCTTAAACTTCTATTGTAATGGTTTTAGATGTCTGTTAGGAATTTGACAATGGGAAGTTTAATTGTGGCTGATATTGTTTCAAATATTGTTTGTAATCAGTGAATAGTGGAAATAGAACATAATAATAACTAACATTTAGAAAATTAAGAAGCATCGTAGGAGTCTTGTTTGGTGATAGACATTGATGCACTGTATGTGCTATAGCCTTTTCTTCCTCTGTTCCTCATTTATTATTATTTTTTTTAAAAATTTAAAAAAAAATATTTACATGCTGCGACTAATGTAGATTTTCCTTCTGCGTGTATGTGTGTGGATTTATTTTATTTTTTGTACGATCAGAGATCACTTGCTTCATACATAAAAAAACATGCTTACTCAAATGCAAAGACGGAAGATTTATGGGATGCTCTTGAAGAGGGATCTGGTGAACCGGTGAACAGGCTAATGAATTCATGGACGAAGCAACAAGGATACCCTGTTGTGTCTGTCAAAGTCAAAGATCAGAAATTGGAGTTTGAGCAGGTTTTTTCTTCTCCTTTTCTTTTATTGGTATCCCTACATGCTTATATGATTTCTTAATTTTATTTAAGGTTTTTGGAAACTTACACAGATGTTCTGTGAAAATTTTATGAATTGCAGTCGCGATTCCTGTCAAGTGGTTCCCATGGGGATGGGCAATGGATTGTCCCTATCACATTATGCTGTGGCTCATATGACAAGTGCAAAAGTTTCCTATTAGAAGCAAAGTCTGAAACTCTTTATGTGAATGAATTCCTGGGTTGCTCAATTTCAGGTGATAGAAACAGTGCTACTTGTTCTTGGATAAAACTTAATGTGGATCAGGCAGGTTTCTATAGGGTGAAATACGATGAGCAGCTTGCAGCTAGACTAAGATACGCAATTGAAAAGAACGACTTGTCTGCAACAGACAGATTTGGTAATTTTGATGTTTTTATTTGTACTTGTTTACATTTTTTAGAGTGAAATCTAGTGCCTTACAATTTATTATTTCTTCAACAGGAATTTTGGATGATTCATTTGCCCTGTGTATGGCTCGCCAGCAGTCGTTCGTCTCCTTGCTTACCTTGATGAGTGCTTACAGGGAAGAACTTGAATATACTGTCCTCTCTAACTTGATTACTGTAATGCCTTGCTCTGAGTCCTATCAAGTTATTATTTGAAGTAAATCTCAGTTTTTACTTATTATTTTGGTCTGCATGTTTTGCAGATAAGTCACAAACTAGTAAGGATTGCAGCTGATGCTGTACCTGAGCTGCTAGATCTCATTAAACTATTTTTTATCGGCCTTTTCCAAAACGCTGCAGAGTAAGTTCTTAATACTTGACATACTTTCAATACCTAAACGAGTATGGATCAGGAGGGAGAGTTTGGCGAATTGCCACAATGTTAGCTTCTCTCTCCTTTCTTCCCTTTTGTTTTTATTTTACTTCAACATGTTTGACCATATTTCAGGAAGCTTGGTTGGCAGCCTAAAGCTGGCGAGAGCCATTTAGATGCCATGTTGAGAGGAGAGGTTTTGACTGCCCTTGCTGTATTCGGACATGAACCCACACTGACTGAAGCAAGTAGACGTTTTCATGCATTCTTAGATGACAGAAATACACCTCTCCTTCCTCCCGATATAAGAAAGGTTGTGGAATGTGCAGCAGTGATTAAATACTAGTACCTGGCTACTTAAAACCCCTAATAACATGGTTTGTTGTGGATCATGGTTTGTTTGCAGGCGGCATATGTGGCTGTAATGCTGACAGCCAATGCATCAAATAGATCGGATAATGAATCTCTTCTGGGAGTATATAGAGAGAGTGATTTGAGCCAGGAGAAAACACGCATTTTAGGTAATTAAGAGCTCATTTATTGAAGAGATGTGGAACATAGTAATCTCGAAGCACGTCATACGTTTATTTATTTATTTTTAATCTGTCTTGTAGGTTCCTTGGCATCTTGTCCAGATCCCACTATAATTTTGGAAGTTCTGAACTTTTTGCTTTCTTCTGAGGTAACACAAATTCAACCTTTCTGTTTGCTGAGGCTAAAAGATTCCATACGGGAACATATCTTTATCTGAACACTAAGCATTGAGTTTACTTTGATTTCATCAAAGGTCCGTAGCCAAGATGCTGTTTTTGGACTTGCTGTTGGCATAGAAGGACGTGAAGTAGCTTGGACGTGGCTGAAGGTAAATAATCACCTTTTGGGTGTAAAAGTACTACCATATATTAGAAGAGCGTGTTAAAGATGTTGGCCGAAAATTATAAAAGTAAGAGAACTAATAAGAATTTATATGCGGCTTACAGTGAATACAAATTGCCTTACACATGTCCTGCTCTTGTCAGTGAAAATTTCATTATGCTTCTCTCTGCATTTTGTTGTAACCTCAAAATTTCTCTCAAATGATGCTCATTCCCATGCTTTTAACTTTCTGACTCTAGGATAACTGGGAGCACATCTCAAAAACCTGGGGTTCTGGATTTTTGATTACTCGCTTTGTCAGCGCAATCGTCTCACCGGTTTGCTCTTTTTCTCTTAAATCTGTCTTATTTCACGTTTGTTCCTCACTCAAGTTGTTGTTGCTCCAGTCTTGTGTTCTTTACTTTCTGATCGGTTCAGTACCTGATTTAGTTCTTTAAAATTCAGTAGATGATGAATTCTTAGTCAACTATTTTTTCTTTTCTACTTCTGCGGTTATCGTCTTCTACAGTTTGCTACATTTGAGAAGGTCAAGGATATAGAGGAGTTCTTTGCGAGCCGTACTAAGCCCTCAATAGCTAGAACCTTGAAGCAGAGCATTGAGCGAGTGAACATTAATGCAAAGTGGGTTCAGAGCGTTCAGAGCGAGAGCCTGCTCCTCTATTCAAATTAAAAACAAGAACATTACCTTGTCATTTTTTTGGGACATATATTGGCCTCCCGACTTCACCATAATCTAAATCTTTCATATCTCTTCTACAATACGGTTTCGTCCTGTAATTATACAACCTCCAGGGCTAAAGTTATTTAAGGTGTGTTGGGAACTCATTTCAAAATAATTTTGTTTTTAGTATGAAAATAGAAATGAAAACGTTTTCATTTTTATTTTGGAATCATTTTTAAAAATGCGTTTAGTAGTTTTATTCAGAGATTATTTTTAATTTTAAAAAAAAAGGAAAACTGCGTTTGGTAATTTAATTTTTAAGAACATGTAATAATGTTTAAAATAATAATATATTAAATAAATAATAATTTAAACAAAATTTGTGAAAAATCTCCCACAGACATCAACCTAATTTCATTCCAAAGTAATTATAAGTTTCTTCTCTAAATATTAAGGGCTCAATTTCATACTTTCAGAAAAGAAATAAGGAAACCAAAAAACCATTTAACATATTTAAATCGGCAATTCTTCGACTGCCCAGGCAAGAGGATGACCAGAAAACTTGTTCAGACTTTTGGAGCGACCCAGGTAAGGACGTGGCTGTGATCATCCCCCTTGACTTGTTCTGGTCTAAAATGGGTCACAAAAGAAAGTGGTGAGAACAAAATTTAGGTGAGAGTTACTGGTCCTGAATTTGTTAGAAATTGCATACACCATGTCCGGATCTTCAGGGGCATTAGGAAGGTCGTCAATGGCCTCCTCCTACTCCAAATCTCATGGTTGTCATCATCATCATCCCCAGAGAAGACCGAAGAAGAGAGACCGGAGCAAACAGGAGAAAACTGACGAACTGTAACCGGAGAAGAGGATGAGAAGAGAACGGAGAAATTTAGGAAGAGATCTTGTGTGAGAAGTGACGGGCAAAAAAACATTTCAGAGGAGAGAAAATGGAAATGGAAAAAATGAAAACGAGTTTAATTCGTTTTCAGAATGGTGGTAGTTTTTGGGAAAAATACAAAAACGATTTTGTTTTCATTTCTGGTATGGTGTTGAACCAAACACCATCTTTATGCTGTTTTCATTTTTCTCTCCTCGGAAAACGTGAAGAACGTTTTCAAAAATAGAAACAAACAAACCCTTAATAATGCATGCGGCTGCTTATATAATTCTCAAATCCGAAAAGCAAATATAATGTCAATCAATTAATGCGTAACATATAATCATAAATTATTCTCACTAAACTTTAAGTCATTCCTAATTTAACCCTTAAACTTATTATTCTCACTTATAACCCTTAAATTTTAAGGTCATTAACCCTTAAACTTTAAAAACTCATTTTGCCTCTTAAATTTTAAATTGTTCTCACTTAACTTTTTATGTTGTAATTTCTATTAAAATCATAAGAAAAAAAAAAAAGAGAAAAATGTAGTAATGTAGTTGTTATCTATTTTTTTTTATAACTAGAAAGACTACATGACTGCGTTATTTATTTATTTTTATATATTTTTTTAATAGAAATTATAATATATGGGGTTAAATAAGAATAATTTAAAATTTAGAAGACAAAGTGCAAGTCTTTAAAATTTAAGAGAGAAACTAGAGATGATCCTAAAATCTAGGAGTACCAGTAATAATATTAATAATCCTACAATCATAAAAATCATTGTAAATTTGCATATTGTTATGGCATAAAACAACAAGAAAGTTAAAAAGAAAAAACAAGCATAAGCTAATTCTAAAATTTGCTACTCTTATAAGCACCGCGTGGTTGAAATAATACCAAGTAAAACACCCCACAGAGCCGTTTGAACTCGGAGGCATAATGAATACAGTTTTTCCCACCATGTGGAATCCATCCAAATGTCTACCATCTTCTTTCTTTTTTCCTTTTTTTTTTTTTTGTTTTTGGAGATTCCTACGACATGCATCTACGATTTACACAGCCAGCAGCAACTGGGATACAACAAGACCCTTACGACCACTGAAAATTCTATAAATATGTGGAATGTTCTTCTGCTATATAGTACATACGAGGCTGCTGGCATTCTCATTTAAGTAATCGAGCCCTGGTGAAAAAGAAATGGGCAAAACGATATCGGGTTATAACGAGTTTTTCATCGTACGTTCACAGGCCATCGTACGTCTCACAGAAACCATCACGTTTTGGTCTTGAACTTTCTTTGAGATTTCAAATCAACCACGATCACCGTGATGTTATCCTTGCTTCCTTTTTGAAGCGCACGGTTCGAGAGATACTCTGCTGCTGCTTGAGCTGCGGGATCGATTCCCTCTCCCCTCTCTTGGGGAAGCGTAATGCCGTTCTTTTTGTGCCAGAGAAGAATTCGCCTCCGAGCCAGATCACATACTTCTTCATTTGTCATTACATCCCATAGACCGTCGCTGGCCAGAATGAGGCAATCATCTTCTTTTGCCCGCGGAAGAAACGTCACTTCTGGTTCTGGAATGATCCACGGTTTCAAGTATCTATCACCTGCAAGCCACCATCATCGTTACAAGTACTACTGGAATTTGATTATTACTTGATCGGTTGTTTTGCGCGCCCGATGCCATAAAGGTTTAAACATGCCACGAGACGTTTGAACGCATTTTGAAAAAAAAAAAAAAAGACGGCTATGCAAGTTCTTGACATAGCTTAGTCCATATTGTTATGCGAAAAAAGTACTCTAAAGGGCTGTCCTGAAATCACAAATCATCGCAGGAGAGATAAAGAAGCAACTATCACTTCAGACAACCGGGAAACTATACTGCAATGAAATGAATAAATTGGAACCACCAAGTATATTTAGAAGTCTTGGCACCAATAATTATACCAAGTCAATTACTTGAGTGCAAATTCTACACAATCAGTACAAATCTTTGAGACCAGTTACTGACATCCAAATGTATACTTTAGAATTAAAGGCTATGTTGAGAATGTAGTTCTTAGTTCCCGGAGAACCAAAAAAAACAGACGGCTAATACAATTTCTCTTGGATGCTTAATCGTCTTATACAAAAACCAATCAAAATTTGGCGTATTCTAAAAATAATAATAAAATAAAATAAAAATCCCTTTGCCTTTATACTTAATCCCATTAAATTCAACTGAATTCATCACAGTAGAGTAAACATCTACGTACCATAGGTTATCTACTGTTGGCATTAGAAAGCAGCAGTTTTAGCAACACATTTTACATTGTGACATTGCTTTACAACATACTTGGTTAACGTAGCCAATGAATCTATATCCAGAAATGAAAACAGAGCTAAAGCGTATCAACTATCGAAAACTGCAAAGCGCCAAGGCAAACATCTAAATAATGACTAAATAATTAATAGATTTTTCATCAGAAAAACCTATGATGATGGCATAGCTCCTGGGAAAACTAATGTTATTAAAAGCTAAGCTAAGCTAAACTAAACTAAGCTAATCAGAGGAGGGAAGGGAGAGAGAAAAAGGTTAAAGCGAAGTGCGCACCAATAGATCTTGACATAGCGAGAACGCCAAAAACACGATGTCCATTCCACTGAATCACCTTGCCCCCGGCTGCTTCAATCCTTGCATATTCATCTTCCCTGTCTGGCTGAAAACAGATTCTCACAACACAATCAGTTATAGTAAAATGAAAACAAGTTCAACATTCAGCGGCAAAATGTGTCAAGCAACATAAACGTAATCAAGAGTTCTTACTTTATGATCCACTGACAATGCGATGGCTTCTTTCCCACGGCATAGAACTGCTCTCGAATCTCCACAGTTTGCTACTATGATGTGAGATGAGCAGACAACGGCAACAACAGCGGTGGAACCGACAGTTTCTGGCGCAACAGGGTCAACGCTAGCTTTTCCTCCAACTTCAGCATCGACCTTATGAAAACAATTCGTGAATGCCTTTCTCCACTGCTCTTGGCAATTTTCCTTAATACTAACATTGCTCAGACCATCTTTAACGCACTCTATCTCTTCGGCCAAAGCCAAGTGGAGACGATCACGGCAATAGTTTGCAACCTGAAGGGCAAAAATGCCAATCCATGATAGAAAGTCAGTAATAGAAAGACGTCAGTTTAATAATAGCTAGTAAGAAAAGCACCAAGAATAGAAAGAAATGACATATGGTACCTGAGAGCCTCCATGACCATCATATACTCCAAAGAAATGAACAGTCTGCCAATTCAAATAGTTGCTCATTCCGTCAATTACATGGTCACCAATCAGCAATTGGATAGGAATTTTCAGGAACTGAGGTACAGTCGCAAATGCATCTTCCATCTCAGGTCTTCTACCACAAACAGATGTAAATCCCCAAAGGGCCACGTAATCCACCTCAAAGACACTGCGTGCAATAACTGCTCCTTTCTCCACAGGCAACTGAAGAACTACTTCAGATGATTTTGAGTGAGACCCATCTCCAATGTCACCTGCAAGGCTGACTGCAACGGCAAGAGGATCACTCACAATATCTGTATCAACATTTGACTCTGCCAATTTTGAAATCTTAGCAACAACGTCGACACTGCAAATGCTCTTCCCGAGGTCCACAGAACTAGGTGTCCCAACGTCGAAACTAGAATCAAAACCGAAAAAATCCTCCCCACATATGCTGCTACTCTCACTTGCCACCGAGCTATCAAGAATCTGATCACCCTCCACAGATAAACAATCATCTTCCTCGCATTCGTGTACTATTGAATCATCACCGGCAACCCAGTTGATCTTATTATGAGATATCATATCCAACAAAGGAGATTGCCCTCCCCTATCCTCTTTCTGTGCCGAACCCGCTATAGCACTTACTTCATTATCTAGACGATTACATTCACATTCCTCCTCACCACCCTCGAGCTTCTCGGAGGAGACCTTAGGAGCAGAATCAGATAACAAGCCAGCCGTGTCGGTCATTAGCTTAAGTCTTGTGATATCCAAGTGGTTATTTGCTATGGTTGGGTTATCACAGACTGAATTGCCTACCCCAAATGGCACCGCGACCGCCGGAGACATCTCCTCCATCAAAATCCTTATCTTGGCAGTACAAAAAGTAACCCCACAACCCCTCCAGAGCCACACAACCAGTCATTTTTCAACCAAACTATGACCTTCTTCTCCTCTCTTTAAGAATGATCCTGGAATGTGAGTGGTGGGTTTTAACACGACATTTTCCATGCCTAACAAGCTCAATTAAGACTTAAAGAAAAGATGGAGCACAGTTCAGGCTTTTGGAATGTATGGATGAGCTAAAAGGTGGTGAAAAGGAAATGGCAAGTCAGATCTGGTCAACAACAATGGATCCAAACTTCCATTTTTGTGCAACTTTAACCCAAATTAGATTTTTTTAAAAATAATGGTAATAATTTGACACACAGACACACACGTTTAGGCCTTGTCAACTTCCTCCTCTCTAGACTCTTCTCTATCCACCTCCATCAGCTACAGCAAGAAGCAACCAGAAAACAACTTTAAATTGTGTAGCCAAAAAATAAATAAATAAATAAAAAGAAAAACTATAAACCAATTAAAACTTGAAACCAACACCACCTTATCTCTAAACACAAGACAGAAAGAGAAAAAGGGTCACAAGAAGGCATAGTCCCAAGAATCACAAGAAAAAACCCCCCATAAAAAGAAAGTACCCTTTTCTTTTCTCACATATCCCTTCACTTCCCTGGATCTGAGGCAACCCATCTGAGCCTCTTGTGATTCAACTCTCTCTCTCTCTCTCTCTCTCTCTCTCTCTCTCAAATAATTTATCACAATCATTATTAATCGGAAAAAAAAAAGGAGGAAAAGAAGAGAAGAGAAAGCTACCTAATTTGTCAACTGTTGAGTTTTCTCTTCCCACCTTCCTCCTTTCTCTAATTGGTCAATTCCTTCTCTGAAGGAAATCCATGGAAAACATCAGAGAATCAGAAAATGAGGAAATGCTTACCAATTAATTACAACGACTCAAAAACGACTTTGTGTGTGTGTGCGTGTGTGTGTTGTCTTTTTTTTTTTTTCTAATGATTCTTTTTATCTATATAAATCTGGGATTTGAGATTTGGGATAGCAAGAAAGAGAATGGATGAAAAAGATCAAAGAATTTTTTTTATAAAAAAAACACAAATATAGAAATAGAAATAGAAAAATGATGGAAAAGACAAGAGAGAGAAAGAGAGAGATAGTGAGTGTGGAGAGTGAGAAAGCGATGGACAGATGTCAAATCTAGAAGAGCATATTAAAGCATCTCCACCCATCCCATGCTCCTTTTTCTGTTCTCTAATCTAATCTAATTCAAATTTTTCAGATTTGTTCTGTTACATTTTTGGGTTATAGAACATATTTTTCTATCTAATTTAAATTATAATTTAAATTTTTTATTATAATATTTTTTTTATAAAAATTTAAATTTAATTTTTTTATTATAGTATTTTCTCTTACATATTAAACTTAAATTAAATTTGATAAAAGAACATACTCATAATAAATTGAATATAAATTTTGAATTAAAACTGTAACTTAAGTTTGTGTTTGAATGTACACATTCCAGTTATGATTTGAATTAAGAATTTATTTAAATTTGTGTTTGGGTGGGTCAAAACTTAAATTTGTATTTAAATAGTGTTTTAATAAAAACTCAATGTTGATGAAAAATTTTAATAGGGTATATAGGTGGAGTTTATTCGTTGTTAACACAGAGAAAAAAAAATCATCTCAATCAGAATTAAAACAAAAAAGTTATAGCGTTTTTAATAATAGAAAAAATATTGTTCATTAACTTGAGTTTGAGTTTAGGAACTTGAGTTGAAGAATGAACTTGAACTCAGATTTTAGCCTCAAACTCAAGTTAAAACTCGAGTTAAAACTTAAGTTAAAACTCAAATTTTACAAAAAAAAAAACACATCTTAAATAAAATCGTAACTTAAGGTCAAACTTTTTAAATTTTATTTCAAAAGAACAAGTCCTCAAAAAAAAACTTTTTTTTTTTTTTGAGATTTTCATTGCAAAATTCTCTAATTCAAAGTTGCCCAACGCTTATTAGGACCTTTTCCGATTTTGTTAGATGTTCCGTGAAATTATAAGGGAGTTCAAAAGATAAGGATCCATAATCTAATGGTGCTCTTTTCCAATAATAATAATTATAATAATAATAATAATAATAATAATAATAATAATACCTCTCTCTAGATCCGTTAATCAACAAATTATTTGTTAATTTAATCTTTCATTGAGAGTTAAACACCTTTATTTTTTTATTTTGTTAATCAGTTAAGCACCTTTATTGGAAGGACACTAGGAAGATGTTTGGTTCATAGACTAGAATCATGATATTAGAACTATTTTCGATTTATGTGTACTTTTTATAAGAAAAAATACTGTAGCGAACCACGAATCATTATTCGAATCGGGGTACGAATCCTCCAACCAAACAACTCCTAGTGCTAAATACGCCAAACGTGAGAATAATTGAGCTTTTTTTTTATATACAGAATAATTGAGCAATTTGTTCAATTAAAAATGTTCAAAGATGGGTTAGTAACTATTTACCACTTATATTAAAAAAATATATATTTACCACTTACCTAGCATTACGTCTTTTTTTTCCTTTGCTGCTGAAATGGATTGCGTATTCATAAATTAATCGTGCTGACTTTTTTACCGTAATATTTCAGTTATTTTTTGTTCTTGTGAATAAGATCAGATACAACTTCAACCGAATCAACCCAGGAGATATTCGGACAAATAATTGAAAACAATATTATTTTTATATACATTTTTCGTTTTATTTGATGTATTAGTTATGTTTTTTTAGCTCAGATGGGAAAGGGTAACAAAGAAGGATAAATTTTATTTTTGCCCCCTAAATTTTAGTTTGTTTGTCATTTGTCCTCTCGAATTTTGAAAATTGGTAAGCACATTTTCTGAACTTTGAAACGTTACTGATTGTGTCATTTCTGTTCATTTTATTAACCGATTTGATGACGTGCCAATTATTTGATGAGTAGTTTAATATATTATTTTCATAAATACCCCCAAAATATGTATCATATTTAAAAATGTTTCATCATCTATTAAACTAGATCAAAATGCCCTCTAATAGAATACAGAATAAAATAACATTTTGTTGATATGACATGCCATTAAAAACTAATTAAACATATTAAATTCAAATTGATAAAGAAAAGTGATTAGATATAAAAAATAATATAAAATAATGTAAAACACTTGAATTTAAAAATTGAAAAATAAATAAATCAATTTATTTTCAAAAATCAAAACAAGGAAAGAGGACAATTGTTCAAAATTAAATAAATATTTACAAAGGGGAAGTAGGGTTTTTTTTTTTAAATTCCTCTTTAGTTTTGGGTTTTTTAATTTTTTAAAAATACTTGATTTATTTAATTTTTGAATTTCTTTGAAGTAAAGTGCTTTATATTTCTTTTATTTTTAATATTTAATCACTTTCATTGATTTCATTAGAATTTAATGTATAATTAATTTTTAATGGCATCAATAAAATTGTTATTTTATTATGTTTTTTCATAATTAAGGGTCATTTTAATATGTTTTTATACATCATGTGGCATTTTTAAATAAGATACATACTTAAGGAGCATTTATGAAAATAATCCGGCCACATCATCAAATTCGTTAATAAACTTAACAAAAGGGAGTAAAGTTAATAACGTTTCAAAGTTCGGGGGCAACGCAAATCAATTTTTAAAGTTTGAGAAATTCTTTTTTTGTTTTTTGTTGGTTTTTGAGAAATGCTCTTTCTTTTTTTGTAATTATTGTAAGAAAAATAGAAATATTAGTGTCTTTTCCTCTCTCTCTTTCAGTATTCATGAAAAAATAATAATAATAATAAAAGAAAAAATTTCAACGTATCCCACCCATACAACGGTCAGCTCTTTCTTAGTTCTTACTACAGCTATAATAATAATAATAATAATAATAATAATAATAATACCTCTCTCTAGATCCGTTAATCAACAAATTATTTGTTAATTTAATCTTTCATTGAGAGTTAAACACCTTTATTTTTTTATTTTGTTAATCAGTTAAGCACCTTTATTGGAAGGACACTAGGAAGATGTTTGGTTCATAGACTAGAATCATGATATTAGAACTATTTTCGATTTATGTGTACTTTTTATAAGAAAAAATACTGTAGCGAACCACCTTTATTTTTTTATTTTGTTAATCAGTTAAGCACCTTTATTGGAAGGACACTAGGAAGATGTTTGGTTCATAGACTAGAATCATGATATTAGAACTATTTTCGATTTATGTGTACTTTTTATAAGAAAAAATACTGTAGCGAACCACGAATCATTATTCGAATCGGGGTACGAATCCTCCAACCAAACAACTCCTAGTGCTAAATACGCCAAACGTGAGAATAATTGAGCTTTTTTTTTATATACAGAATAATTGAGCAATTTGTTCAATTAAAAATGTTCAAAGATGGGTTAGTAACTATTTACCACTTATATTAAAAAAATATATATTTACCACTTACCTAGCATTACGTCTTTTTTTTTCCTTTGCTGCTGAAATGGATTGCGTATTCATAAATTAATCGTGCTGACTTTTTTACCGTAATATTTCAGTTATTTTTTGTTCTTGTGAATAAGATCAGATACAACTTCAACCGAATCAACCCAGGAGATATTCGGACAAATAATTGAAAACAATATTATTTTTATATACATTTTTCGTTTTATTTGATGTATTAGTTATGTTTTTTTAGCTCAGATGGGAAAGGGTAACAAAGAAGGATAAATTTTATTTTTGCCCCCTAAATTTTAGTTTGTTTGTCATTTGTCCTCTCGAATTTTGAAAATTGGTAAGCACATTTTCTGAACTTTGAAACGTTACTGATTGTGTCATTTCTGTTCATTTTATTAACCGATTTGATGACGTGCCAATTATTTGATGAGTAGTTTAATATATTATTTTCATAAATACCCCCAAAATATGTATCATATTTAAAAATGTTTCATCATCTATTAAACTAGATCAAAATGCCCTCTAATAGAATACAGAATAAAATAACATTTTGTTGATATGACATGCCATTAAAAACTAATTAAACATATTAAATTCAAATTGATAAAGAAAAGTGATTAGATATAAAAAATAATATAAAATAATGTAAAACACTTGAATTTAAAAATTGAAAAATAAATAAATCAATTTATTTTCAAAAATCAAAACAAGGAAAGAGGACAATTGTTCAAAATTAAATAAATATTTACAAAGGGGAAGTAGGGTTTTTTTTTTTTAAAATTCCTCTTTAGTTTTGGGTTTTTTAATTTTTTAAAAATACTTGATTTATTTAATTTTTGAATTTCTTTGAAGTAAAGTGCTTTATATTTCTTTTATTTTTAATATTTAATCACTTTCATTGATTTCATTAGAATTTAATGTATAATTAATTTTTAATGGCATCAATAAAATTGTTATTTTATTATGTTTTTTCATAATTAAGGGTCATTTTAATATGTTTTTATACATCATGTGGCATTTTTAAATAAGATACATACTTAAGGAGCATTTATGAAAATAATCCGGCCACATCATCAAATTCGTTAATAAACTTAACAAAAGGGAGTAAAGTTAATAACGTTTCAAAGTTCGGGGGCAACGCAAACCAATTTTTAAAGTTTGAGAAATTCTTTTTTTGTTTTTTGTTGGTTTTTGAGAAATGCTCTTTCTTTTTTTGTAATTATTGTAAGAAAAATAGAAATATTAGTGTCTTTTCCTCTCTCTTTCAGTATTCATGAAAAAATAATAATAATAATAAAAGAAAAAATTTCAACGTATCCCACCCATACAACGGTCAGCTCTTTCTTAGTTCTTACTACAGCTTAGCATAACTTGTTACTTATAACCCAAAAAGTCACCAAAAAGGAGAAACATTCTTTCTCATCATTGTTGACTATTTTTTGTAACCATCATTTTTGGTTTCTTTCTTTAATGAAGAACTTTATGGCTGATGTATTCATTTGTTGATTTCTAATTAATGGAGGCTAATATAATTATTTTACACCAACAAAAAAAAAAAAAAAAAATTGACGCATGCATCTGAATTCTGAAACCAATGTATTCGTCTCTGTGGTTAAAAGGGGCTCTGAAAACAATGAAAACTTGTTACATCACGTGTAGCCTCCAATTACATTATTGAGTTTATTTATTTGGTTGGTGAAAAGTCAAGATTTGACGAGTTTCATAGGGGAAAATCTATTTTCATATTGACAGTTCAATGTCATTTACCGTTAGATTAACAGTTTAGTTTAATGTCAATTCAGATAATGTTAATAGAATGCGGGTATTTCTTAGCTCGTAAGATCCTCTTTAGTCATTTTCATCAAAAAAAAAAAAAAAAAAAAACGATCCTCTTTAGTCATGGTCGAGAGGACAATAATTATGGCTGGATAAAAAAAATAAAAAAAAAAAAAGAGCAGACAGGCAGACAATTAATTTTCCTGGAAGTTTAAATGGAATAATTGTTCCTTCCAAAAAAGGGAATACCTCATAAATTGTATTTATTATTTATTTATTTGTTGGAGGTTGGTTTGGGTATATGATATTGCTGGATTTCGCAATTTGGTTTATTAATTGGGTTAGCTTATGAAGTTTATTTACTTGGTTTTTTTTTTCTAAAAAAAAAACACAAAAAAGAAATTTACTCGGTGTTTTGGTTTTTTTTAGTTAGATTTTTTTCTTATTTTAGGGTGCGTTTGGAACTCGTTTCAAAATTATTTTATTTTTTATATGAAAATGAAAATGAAAACATTTTTAATCTCAAAGATAAATTATTTTTAAAAATACGTTTGGTAGTTTTATCAAGAGATTGTTCAGTATAAAAAAATCCATTAATGTCTCTATCTCTCTCTACTCGAGAGAGAAGAAAACATAAATAAAAAATGAAAAACGACTAAAAGTCATTTTTCACTTCTCCCATTTTACACCAAACCAAAAAATCGTTTTCATTTCTGTTTTTTATCTTTAATTATACCGAACGTCATTTCTCTCCCTTTTTTATTTTTTCTTTCTAAAAAAACGTAAAAAATAAAAACAAAAATAACTCCGAACATAGCCTTAGTCTTTTACCACGCTTACCAAAGCACAAATGAAAGACTCAGATTAAAAAGAAAAAAGAACAAAAAAAAGAATCATTCCATCAAACACAGAAAATTCCACAAAAAATTCCAAATTAAGCCCAATCCTTAAAACCCAAAATAAATTCATTCCATCAAAGCCTGATTCCACACACACACACACACAAAAGCTTGATCAACCATCATCTTAGTGAATACATTCACCAAAACCCAATTAAAATCATTTACATCAACATTATTTTTTACCCCAAAACCCATGGAAATCACCCACAATATGATAGCCAAACAATAATCTTCCAAGACCGATTTCCTCTTGAACCAACCGTCATAATTTGCAGCTTCTTGAATTGAGTTTCAAGAACTCTCTCTTTCTATATGCCTCTTTTCAATCAATGCTCACAATTTGAGCCTCCAATCACTTTTTCTAACAACCGCAATATTATCACCCTTGATCTTGCACACATGGATTGATCAATCTAAGAAAAAAGTGCATCCACCAATTCCCTTCTCGGCATTCTCACTCCCATATGCCAAAAGTACATAAATAAATAAACAAATCTGCTTTACTTAATCAAAACTAATTTGTCCAAACTAAAATTATGATTTTACCTCAAAACTTTTTGCAACCATAAAACCTCAACCCAAGATTAAGATCAGTCCAACTCCACGAGGAACTCCTTCCCGAATGCCCATTATCATAAATTTTACTCAGTTTTTCCTAAATCCAAATACATAAAACTCGTATTTTAAACCCCAAAAAGCCTTTTTATTTGCCACTGGAAGATTGATTTGTGCCTAGTAAAAACTTTAAGACCAAGACATGACTCATTGAAAAAAAGAGCTGAAAGACGATTTATGACGCCAATTAACCCTAGAACATAAGGGTATAGTTCGCTTGGCGCAATGGCGCATATAACTCGCTTGAGATGAAGAAGATTCCCAATTATGATTGCAAGGAAAAATCGAAAAAAATAAAAAATAAAAGAACCAAAAAAAGCTTCAAAGGCAATATATCTTGAAATGTTCTGCCGTTTTCACGTAGTTTGTAGTATATGTAAAAAGAGGAATTAAACACTCCGGTTTCAGAACATTCTTTTTCCCTTTATTACAATGGACAATTTAAAATAGATGGACCCATTAGAATAGAAAAAAGAAGTCCACATGAATGCAGTTATGGCGAAAAGTCAGACAATTAATCATTTGTATTTTGTGGCTAAAAGAAAAATTAAGAGGACGTTTTATTTATGTATTTAAAATTATGATTTAAAATTATTTTTGTTTTATGTGTATTTTTTGTGAGAAAAAATATTATAGAGAATCATAAATTTTTTATGAGAAAAAATACTGTAGAGAATCATAAATTTGTATTTAAAATTATGATTTAAAATTATTTTTGTTTTATGTGTATTTTTTATGAGAAAAAATATTATAGAGAATCATAAATTTTTTATGAGAAAAAATACTGTAGAGAATCATAAATCATGATTCAGAATCATAGACGAATATAGAAAATAAACGTCCCCTAAACTTCATAGAGAGAGGTTTGTGTCACTGTCATAAACTTCAAGCTAACATTAAATAGAGGGAAAGCGTGAGAGGAAGGGGCATATTAAGAGTGAGTACAAGAAACAGAAGGCTATAATTCATAGGTAAAGAAACGACAATTTTTTAAAACTTGTAATAGGGGAAAATTTATCCAAAGACACATCTGAAATTCTGAATGCCAGTATAAAAGGTTTTATACTATAGTTGAGTCACCGTCTTCTATTAAAATTTGGATAATTGAGGTCAACATTTATCTAAGGAAGCATCACAGTGATAGCAACATATCAGCACAGTCATAATAAATCACATCAGTTATTTCAATAAAATAAAATAAATCAAATCATATTAGTCAATTGATCTAGAGAAAGGTGGCATAAGTTTTTTTCCCCCAAATTTTTTGAAACTACTAAAAAATGAGTCAAAATGACGTTGCCTTTTAGCATCATAACTATTGCTCAAGCAAACAGAAGCCATGTTAGCAAAGCATGAAGAAGTAATAGCTGCAACTTGGACAACATAATTCAACATCAAGAAACAAAGAAAGAAGAATGATCCAATTAGGGATGCAAAACAGGCCAGTACAATTAACAACCTCAATAATCGAGGCAAGAGTTGCGAATTGAGGGAACATGTTTCCACAACTATTTTCTCCACGGCCAATAATGGGCTTTCCCCAGAAGGGCAGATTTTCTGTAAACGGCCATGGAGTTTCTTACTAGTTTTTCCTTAATACTATTTTGACCAGATACTGCCACTAGCGAAGGCGAGTATGCTAACTGCCAACCTGGGCAGCCAAGAAAAGCCCACACTTCTCTGTCCTACCTTCTAGAATCTAATTCACAAAAAACTTTAAACTAAAGTCTCATTAGCCCTCGGCTTTTATGAAGCTCTTCAAAGACTACTGTACACTTATAAGGTTGTTCTGAAAATAGCATTGGCATCCAGTCCACATGAAATGCAGATAATAACATTAAGCACTGCCTATATTAAGCAGGCGCGTGCAACATCTGCATCTTGGGATTGCTTGCCATTTGTGTTATCTCATGATATAACTATGGTAACATGGGATCACCTGACGATGCAAGCATTTGAACCTCTATTTCCTCTGGTGTCTGGCTAGTACCATGACCTGCCCTAGCTTCGCCTGCAGATATTAGCCAACAACATAATAACTACTAAGATTTCCAAAATAAACAAGATTAAACAAACAAACAAAAAAATCTCTACAGCCAACAAGAAAGGAAGATTTTATTTCCAAGTACAGAACTAAACAGGTGGTTCCTTGATTTATCCATTTTAAGGAAGCAGGAAGGGCAATTATCCATTTTTTGATTGGATTTTGCCCCCTCATTCATACACAATTTTTGCTGAAATAGTAAACCTGAGATATGGATATCTAGTTTGTCAGAGGAAAATTTTGGTTTCGGAGCACATGTAGAACATCCACGAATAGGATCTAACATTGACCTAACTCAAATCCAATATTGCCCTTAACTGGTTCAGTAAGGACTAAGGAATCAATTTTTAATTATCCTCATAAGAAAACCAGACTTAAGTTCTGTCCATTATGAGATCACAGAAGTATAGAGGCAAAACTGGGGGGGTTTTGTGTTATGCTCAAAGAAAATCCCATACACAAGGCAGAAGTCTAAGCCCGTCTTTTACTCCCCCATTCTGAAAAATTAGAAGTAGAAAAACAATATTAGCAACTAAAAAGTTAGAGTAGCATACCAAGAGATTGACGAAGCCCTTTTACAGCATCAAAGTTCTTGTATGTATAGCCAACGAAGCTGAGATCCTTAGGAGTTAAGAGCAACTGCATGAAACAATAAGATGAAGTAAACCTCATACTCAATCATCTTGGCATCTCCTCGTCTCAATAACAAAGGACAAAAGGCCTAAAATAGAGAAAAGAAAGCTATGGCACTAATTCTGTTGATGCCTTGTCAACAAGAAATGCCAAAAGGCAAACAATTTCCTTAAAAATTGTTTCAAGGAAAAAATCATGTTACCAACTTCTCTGAATAGTCGAGAATCGGAACAGAACATTTTTTTCAAGGAAAAAACCATGGTAAAACCAACTCATAATGGAAAGTACGAGTATAATAAGAACAACAACAACAACAACAATAATAATAATAATAATCACGAACCTTCCGAGAGGGTCCTGAGCCAGTTCTTGTTGGTGCTGGGGGGTCCAACTGATGCAAAATTCAAAATGTTCAGTTCATTAGTAAGATAAAAAAAAAAATCATTTAATGACAAAAAGATGAACCTAGGTCCAATTTGCTTCCAAAATTGAATCCGTGGGCGGTAGCAGAAACCATAATACAGCATGATTGCACAATACCAGCAATGCTTGATAACAAGCAACTGGTTATCCGCCAAAACGCCGACAAGAAAAATAACAACAAATTAAAAAAGGCAATTGGAAAGCAAGACTGTATAATACTTCATCAAATTTCATGAAGTTCCGGGTATCAAGCTCTCCATTCACTTCTGGTTTGAACGCTGCCACCGTCTCATAGAGTTTATCCCACACTATACCGTTGAACCAAGGGTGAGACTGACACAACAAAATCGTACAGATATAAGATAACGGACAGAAAGATGAAAGAACCTCTGGTAAGTTTTAATAAACATGAAACTTTACTTTAATTTGATGTGCCCCTCCAGTACCCAGCCTATGTTCAACATCACAGAGCATCCTACAAATCAGATCCTTAGCCTCAGGTGTCAACCTTGCATCTTCTGGGAAATGAAGGTGGTTTCTCCAATGAACAATCTGAAAGGAATTGAAATATAGAATGCATAGATTTCAATAGACATACCACACAGGAGTCCAAAAAGACAAAAGAGTGAGGAAGCATGATGTTAAATGTGATCAGTCAGGAACCAGGCTTTCAAGGTACCTAAGGACAGAATTAGAATAAAAAAATAAAATAAAAAATAAAAAAACACTAAAGGTAAACGGATTCTCTTATCAGAATACTGAATCACTTTTTGAAAGCATGTAAGCATATTACCTTTCTGCAAGTAGTTATTGGGTCATCTGAATAGAATGGAGGGTAACCAACAAGCATCTCGTACATTATTGCTCCAAGTGACCACCTATATCAAATCCCAACAGCATGAGTGGATACAGACAAAAAGAAAAATTAAACTTAATATGACAAATCCGGGACTAAGGTAGATTTGTTTTTGAAAAAAAAAAAAAAAAAAAACCACTAATCCCATCACAAAAGCTTCAAGATTTTTTTCCTTTCATTTTTATTTTATTCCCTTTTGAGTGGAAGAAGAGTGCAGTGCAGGGCTTTAAAAGTTCAGAGAGAAATTTAATAGCAACAGCTCGTTCAAATGATAGCAATCCCCGCAGCATAAGAAATGCGTATATGTTTTTACTTTATTCCCTTTTGGGTGGATGAAGAGTGCAGGGCTTTAAAAGTTTTAGAGAGAAATTCAATAGCAACAGCTTATTCAAATGATAGCAATCCCCACAGCATAAGAAATGCCTATATGGCTTTGCAACGCTGAAATTGTGGTTACGGATAATGTACTTCCAAAGAAGATATTTAATTATTTATCACAGACAATATAAGGGTACACACAATTAGAACTTAAATGGAGAGAATAACAGAAAACATAAGCTAGAAACTAACCAATCACACTCCATCCCATATCCTTTCTTCAATAGTACTTCAGGAGCAATATAGTCTGGAGTTCCCACAGTTGAAAACGCCTTTGAAGAAAAAGGTAATAAAGTGAAAAAGAAAGGGAAAAGAAGTACAGGTGTCTAAAAACCATGGTAATGTGTGAACCAGGTACACTATTGAAAAAATTTCCTAGGATAGTGTATATGCAAATTAGTACACATGTAAACTTTCCCCCTTGTGCTTTATGGTTTCTTAACAATATGCCCTTCTTCATCTCTAAAGATAATGTGTCCAAATCTAGCAAGCTTTTTAAGATAAACTGCCAACAATTGTGGTTAAAACATGTAGCCCCATATAGTGGGAAATGAAGATATAAAGAAACCAAACTTCAGAACCTTCTAAACTCGATACCACCTGATCAAACAATTTTCTTAACCACTGAAAAATAAAATAAGAAAAAGTTTATTATAACATCGTAAAACCTCAACTATAAATGCAGCTTTTTTTTTTTTTTTTCAAATAAAAGTAAACCTGACTAGAAATCTGGGTAGTCTTGAGCCATTAGATATTCAGAGTTACTTTGTTTATATTACAATAAAAGTCGGTTAAGTTGTCATCATACCAACTTCCTCCTATTCATCTGCCAATGCTGAAGCTGTTCACGAGGGCTCCTCCAGCTTTTCCTATTATCCGCATCAGTTAAACATCCATCGATATCCATTGGTTCTGTCAAATTTTCGTCACCCATAGTTCTATTTTCATGCAGTGCAGGTAAAGTTGTACAATCAAGAGGCTTACAGAGGCCAAAATCTGAGAGTTTCATGTGACCGTTTTTATCCAGTAGAAGGTTGTCAGGTTTGATGTCTCTGGAAAAACAAAATTTTGAACCAGTGAGACAAGTCAAACACCAAGTGTGTAACAAACAATACCCAAATTAAAGTATTAAACAGATAATCTATCATCTAATACAATATTGATGACCAAATAGATAAATATCAACCTGTGAACATAGTTGTGTTTGTGAATGGATTCTATTGCCAGCACACTCTGTGCAATGTAAAATCTAGCAACATTTTCAGATAAGGTATCTTCCCTCATAAGCAAAGTCATCATGTCACCACCAGGCAGATATTCCATAATCAGATATAAGAACTCAGCATCTTGGAATGAGTAGTAAAGTTTGACTATACAGTGGCTGCCAACTTCAGCCAGCAAGTTTCTCTCAGCCCTAACATGTTCCACCTATGGAGGAAAAGACATCTGATTAAAACAAAGAAAGCACTTTCTGAATACCTTCACACAGTAATAGATCAAAGATAGGGACAAAGTATTTTGAGGGGTTAACATATTTTCTTTTTATTTGACATAGCAATAACATGGCGCATTTTTAGTTAAAAGGTCAAAAGAATAACGGAAATAAATCAGTTGATACTCAATTTAAACCCTAACGCACAACAAAATAGAGAATTTAACAAAACCTGTTTTCTATATAGCTTGAGTCCAGCATAAGTCCAAGCATATGAAAAGCCATGGAGCAAAGAATGCTGGATCCATTAACGCTACTGAAAAATAACATGTATATCACTCACAAAGCCAATCAGATCTATCATATCTACAAGATACATCTTGTGTAGTGTTCTAAATCACAGAAATGAACACGAGAATCCCAAGATAATTAAACAAAATGTTAAAATCTGTTGGAAGGGAAATTTCCTGATAATCTAAAATAGTCAAATACCACATGATATTAATAGGTCCAAAGAATGGGATAACTAGTCAATTCAGGAAATGTTCATTCATAGCTGGTTAAGGAAAATTTCGGAGCAAGCTACAGTAGTAGGTTCAGTAAAAAATGATAACATGCCAGTCCTCACCTGTCCTCTCATAAGCATTTCAGACTTCTTCAACTTTTTCATCGCATAAATGTTGCCAGATTTTTTCTCCCGACATAACCGAACCTGTAGTTTGAGAGATCATAAGATAAATATATATATATATATATATACAAAAACAATTTTACATAAAGGTTATATATCAAAAGAAAAAGGAACCAGCATGCTATGCATTCAAACATACATGTGAAATTCCAACCATCAAATTACACGCAAGAAGCTCAATGCTCAATACCAACCTCACCAAAGGCTCCCCTCCCAATAATGGTTAAAAGCTCAAAATCGTCCACACATATCTTGTGCCTTTTGAGCCGCATAAATTCTGTCTCCTTTTGCTCTAAATCTTTGATTAGGTTGATCTGTACCTCCTCAGGTACATCTGAGGAAGCCAATTTCCTTTCTAAAAGCCATCGTCTGCAATAAAAATCATTCATCAGAAACTCAAACTGCATGTTTGAACCCAAAAATTCACGATTTTCATTCTGACTTAAAATGCAAATTTCATGAGCAGCAAAAATCTCACAGTTGATATTCTGGTTCAATAGTACAACGATAATAATCAAGACACCATAGACACTGGAAATCCAAACAAAATAGGCACAAAACATGCAATAATTAACAATGACACGAACAAAATCTAGCTGGAAGTGCTGGATTAGATTTAATAAAAACCATTTTAGTATTGCACAAGGAAGGAAATTTATTTCTCCAAAATTATACGTTCAAGATACATTAAATCTGCATGAATAATAACTTAAATCAAGTCTAATAATTACGCCACCTCAATGAGTCTAATACTTGATTTACCCAACTAGAATCTCAATGTCTATGGACTTGCTTGTGTTTCCAATGCGCCAACCATTTCAATTTATTTTATTATCATATCAAAAATCATAATATGCGACGATTTAGTTGACCGTACTACATACTTCAGTTAGGATCAGTAATAAAATGAAGGCTCTCTTTCCACATTTTGTTTTTGCAACTCTTTCTCAGCTGCCAAACAGAGCAAACTCAAAACAACGAACAATAAGATCTAGCCACAAGGTAATATAAGGATTTTCTTTAGTAATGCCCCAAGCTATTCCAAGATTCCTAGTTCAAAAAAAAAAAAAAAAAACAAGAAGAATTCCTTCCTTTTTCTCAGCAGCCAAACAGGTCATACAAAAGAAAATATACACACATATAAAAAAATCGAAACCTCACGTACCTCTCCTTTCGTTCCTGAATGTTCTTCATTTGAGCTCTGTAGTGGTTCTCTATGAACTGCTTGGCCGCGGCGACCTTCTCCATCGTCAAGCTCGACCCTTGCACCTCCTCTTCTCCGTTTTCTTCCTCCTGCAGATCCTCCATTTTCTCTCCCTCCGAGTATAGTGCGACGTCGAAAACCTCTCTTTCTCTCTCTAGGATATATAGTATCAGCTTTCTCTCTCTAGAATTCCGAAGCTCGGAAGCTCCTTATTTAATGCAACAACGAGGAGAGAGGAGATGATCGAAAGAGAACCTCAAAAACCCCTTCTCGGCCCTTGCCTACCAATCGTTTACGCACAAATTTATTCCCTGCTTGTGGGCGCACGCAAAATCCCTAATCTAAACTGCCATCCGGACGCCACGTAGTAAAACGGGTTTGTTGAATCTCTACTTCATTACGTGGCGTTTTGTTATTGCAGTATTGGTTTTAGATTACTTAAGTCGGCGGTCAGGTGATAGGAGCTCGTTCGATTTATTTATTGATTAGTTTCACGATTGCTGTCACTGAATGGCTTCTTCCTCACGCGCGTAAGGAGAGCGTGGTTGGCACTCGAAAAATTCAGAGGGGAATAAGTGTCGCGGTCAGATTTTAATGACGGCCTTAACACATTTTAGCACATGAAAGCTACGAGGATGGCCCACGTTGTTTACTTGCGATTGGGGCGTGTAGTGCACGGGTGTTGAGAGGAAGTGGTGCTGATAAATTCTCCGGTCAGTGATTGGCTGTCTTTGCTTTCATAACCTCGTGTCATGATGCTCCGTTAATCCCTTAAAAAGTGATTACTGTTAGAGTTTCTATCCCCTGCGAATAGGTGTACCAAATTCGTAGTCAATAAAGTGGTATTCTTGGTAAGTCAAAAAAAAAAAGAAAAAAAGAAAAAGGAACAACTTGTATCGCCAATGTAATATTGTAATGTGGGATTAATACGCAGTGCTATTAGAATCTCACATTCATTGTAGATATTAGTATGATCTACTTAATAAAGTGATAGTAATCTTTCCTTAATAAGTCAGTTTTATTAAGTTGAGTTAGGTTTAATATCCTTTGATTTCTGTAAAATAGTATCAGAGCAGGCTCAGTTTTGCAATGTTAGGTCCCCCAATATCGACTTATTCGCAGCGGTTTGACATGGTCCACGTTGTGCGTAAGGGGGCGTATTAGAATCCCACATTGGCTAGAGATATTAGCATAATCCACTTAATAAGGTGAGGGCAATCCTCCCTTAACAAACCGGTTTTATTAGATTGAATTATGCCTAATATCTTTTAATTTTTGTAAAATGGTATTAGAATCCCACATTGGTTGGAGATATTGACATGATCTACTTAATAAGGTGAGGGCATCCTCCCCTAACAAGCTGATTTTGTTAGGTTGAGTTAGGCCCAATATCCTTTACTTTCTGTAAAATGGTATCAAAGCGGCCCTAGTTTTGTAATGTTAGGTCCCCCAATATCGACTTATTCGCAGCGGTTTGGCATGGTCCACGCTGTGCGTGAGGAGGCGTATTAGAATCCCACATTGGCTTGAGATATTGGCATGATCTACTTAATAAGATGAGGACAATCATCTCCTAACAAGCCGGTTTTGTTAGGTTGAGTTAGGCACAATATCTTTTGATTAATATTGTAATGTGGGATTAATATGTAATGCTAAAATTAAATATTCGAATGTTATATTATTTTTTATGTTAAATTAGTGTTTATTATTAATTTGTTGACTTACGCACTTTATAATTAGGATTTTAATATAGTTCCTGAAAAAATAGACTACCGATAGTGTCTTATTTTTCAGTCGTCATATATGTATCAAACTCTGTTTATTTTGTATATTGTTTAATTTGATGTGATTTTAACCAAATCTAACAATTAAAAATCGAGATTATTGATATGCCGACCTATTATAAAAGGTCCCTAATAATTATAGCATTGTCAAATTTTATTTTTTTTATTTTTTTTAAAAGCTTAAAAAATCTAATGACAGGAGGTAGTTTTGGTATTTAAAATATCTATGTGTTAGATTATAAATAACAAAACATGTTAAGTATATCATTTTTTATACTCCTTTATTTATTTTTTTTTTCAAATATAGCGTTGAGAATGTCATTTGCAATGGAGATGTCTTATATAATGGGAAATACAGTATGAGCATTGTATATTTTTAATCCTGACATCGTATCAAAATTTTATTAAAATTAAATAGTATATAATTTTGATGAATTCCAAGGTAGTTATAATAAATCTACACCCATGCTTCAATGTTAATGTCTATAGTTCAAAGATCTACCCCAATTAAAAAAAAGAAAAAAAAAACAGTGTCTACTTTTTAAATCTCTTGAATGTTTGAGTTTTTTTTTTTTTAAAGGTAACTTTAAATATTACCCAAATGCATTAATAGCCAGACTATGTATGTAAAAAGTGTGACCACAATCCTTAAAAAAAAAAACAAAAAACAAAAAAAAAAGTGTAACCAACATAGTTTAAAAGTAACTTGTGCACTGGTGTTTTAAACCCTGTGAGAAGATTATCAGTAGCAGCAACAAAAAAAAAAAAAAAAAAAAAAAAAAAAAAAAAAG